TCTTATGAAAAAGAAAAACTTTTATTACTAAAAACTTAATCAAGAAATACAAAATATTTTTGATCCTATATTTATAATGATTTTCCAGTTATATTGCCTTAGGATAATTTATTAGGATTCAGGACAGGCTGTGGCATAATGCATTCTGTTGTAATTTTGAAAGAATTTTATTAATACAAATAGTGCAGCATTATTCAAAATGTTACAGTACAAGAAATATTTTTGGTATCTTTATCCACTGAGAACCAAGTTAGGTTGATAAGTCTTTACACACTTGTACTGCCAAGTGGGTAAGTTAACTACAGGTCAAAAATTAAGATACAGTTAGATAGTTTGATGTTTTGTTTGTGTTTCTGTTGTGTGTTATGATCATGAAATGTATTATGATCATGAGCCTTTTTTATTATGAATTCTTCATTAGTAGAGTTTCTCCTTTTTATTGCCCCCCCCCCCCCATTATTGAAAAGGATTAGGGGGGATATAGCAATAATGTTCTTTCTGTACACATGATAACTAGAGGTCTAAATAGCTATTTGAATCAGACTTCACAGGTCAGTTTCCTTGGAGTGATGGAAGATCTCTAATGATTTTTGAGTTAAAAGATTAAAGTCACTATTTCATAAAATAGAAACGTAGTTTCTGTGCAAGTTCTACTGCATAATACACACAGAATTTCATGTTTATCAACTCTCCAAAAACAAAAACAAACTAATGGTTAATGGTCAGAAGGATCAACCATTTTACATTTACCTAACCTTTTACTGCTTTTTAGTCATTGCTGTGACAAGTAGGTTTCTTGTAGCAAGAAAACATTTTTTTAATATAATATACTTAAACTAAAATCAGAGTAAATAATATAGACCATTTGATTTTGGGCTCTCTTTTGGTGGTCTATGGAAAGGTTGCATAATTATGGAAAATATGAGGAAGCTTAGTGTGTAGATCCCAATTGTGGTCTTCTTAGATCAGATAAAAGAAATTTGGGTGGTCCATGAGTAAAAAAGTATGAGAATCACTGACAGATAATAAGTAGTCATCAATACTGCTAGAAGTAATGGTTAACACTATGTGCATGGGTTTGGTTTAGAGTGCACATGCCATGACCTTTGATGTGGTGCCTTTCAATGAGGTATTATGTATTTGATGTCAGAGTTGTCGACTATTCATTTTACTCTACGTTACTAATTCAGCAACAGTTGGTGGCAGAAGAGAGGAAATACCAGATATAGGGATACTGTAAATAAACCCTGTAAATTTGCATTTCATATGTTTTAGAGGTTATACAAATGCAATATGCAAATTGTAGGATGAACAAAAGTATTTTTATTCTTCACATGAGCATCACCTTGCACTCCAACTTGTGAGAGTGATGTCAACAAATCACAGTCATAACTTGATTATAAATACTTCTGTAACACAGTGTTCATTTCAGGATGCAACCATGGTGCTGTATTTCTTGCTAATGACACAAAAAATGTTTATAAATTCATCCATTTGGTACATTTTTAATAACACTGTAAACTACTTGAGTTGACACCTATGAGCGTGAATTCGTCTAATACTACCTGATGTCATATTGATTTTTTTTTATTATTATTGGTCAGTACCATAGCTACACTGATACAGCATTGATTCTAGCAGTTTTATTGGACGAAATTACTTCAGTAGTTGCTTCTTATAACAATGGTGTAAAACTGAATGTGATCATGCAAATCAAAGAATATTCTTCATTCCTTCACAAAAAAAATCAAATAACCCCTTTGGAAACTACAGAAATATCTATAGAAAGTGAAGTAACTAAAAATGAAGTAACGGCTATAAAAGATTCCAAAAATACCTTGTCTTCCCTAATCCAGTAAAATGAAAGTATAAGTGACCAGTGAATGTTTCAGCATACCTGGGCAGAAGAATTTTGATGGCTAACTTATGCTCAGATAAAAATTTGATGTTTTGTAAACTGTGCATTAAACACAACTATACAAATTCATTTGTGAAAGGATCCTGTAATTTTCAGACCAGGCTTGTTGTAGGAGGAGATCACAAATCATGTGTGGAAAGTATACCACTAAAACAAGATATGCAAACACAAGCAAAATGAATTTTGAATGATAAAAAAATGGTATAGTCAAGTGTATGGAAACTGTATATTACTTGGTGAAAGAAGATTTACCCTTGATTAATAATGAAAGTGTGATACCCTTCTTACAGGGACATGGTGTCCCTGATATGGACAAAATAAATGGGTCTGAGAAGGCTACTTATGCATCAGTGAACACAGCCAATGAGATGTCTTCAATTACTAGTGTGATAAATTGTGACAATGACAAAAACTAGTGTTCAACAGTTATAAGCATATTAGCTGATGAGAGTTGTGACATTGGAATGGAAAATACTTGTAGCATATGCTTATGTGCTAAATCCAGAAACATTTGAACCAAGTACCATGCTACTGAAAAATGTTAAGATTAGAGATTGGACAGGGCTATTTTAGAAAGTTTAGAAGAGAGACAGGTACCAATGTCAAGGGTTTATGGGTTTAAAAGTGTTGGTGCAAAAGTGATGATAGGGTAAAATTGGTTGTGACTGGACACCTTCTAAGAAAAACTCCTATGATCTTGAATTATTATTGCATTGCACACGGACTAGTGTTAGTCAGTTCACAGGGTGCTAGTAAAATACCTTATCTTAACGAATATCACGAGACATTGACTGGAATGTTTTATGTCTTTAAGGGTTCAGTGAATAGATGTGAGATATTAAAAGAGATACAGCAGCTGCCAGAAGATGGCATCAAGATAAAGGAAGTACATGAAGTTAAATGGATTTCCATCTACAAGGCAGTAGACTGTGTGTGTTTAGATCCCTGGATTCCCTTTCATCACTGAGCTGTGCTTGGTTTTCCAGAACAGGGACTAGGATGTGTTTGCAGTCCAAACAAATATTGATCATTGAGCAGGTACAAAGATACTGAAGAACAGAAGGAACATCAATCCTTTCTTGACACACTGAGAGATCATCTGATTGAAGAAGGGGGCAAGCTTGTGTCTAAATAGAATCATGTTATTTATATGGGTGCAAGCACTGATAAGCACATTTATAGAGAAACTTTTGGAAAAAACTCAATGAAAGTTTTCTACTGAATGACTCTCAGATCATGTATGCAATGGGTGTAATTAGAATGAGACCAATTATATTTCTGTTGAGGAATGATCTTTCAAATTGGGGTAATAGCAAGATTTAGACTCTGATTAACTACTTTAGAAGTGCAAAAGAACATAAGCATGATGAGAATGTAAGCACAACAGAGGTTATAAGTAGATCCAGAGAAAACAAGAACGGTGGTCAAAAGTAAAAGAACAGGCAATTAATGCTGGTTATCCAAGAGTGTGCTATTGGGATTGATCAGTTCAAATCACAAGGAAGAATACCCATACGTGTTAAAGCTGGCTGCCATTGCAGTTACTGCTTCCATCCATACTTCTGATTGTGAAAAAGGTTTTAGTATTCAAAATATCATTAAAGTCTCCAAGAGAAATTGCTTAGCACCAGAGAGAGAGAGAGTTGATGAGCTTATGACTGTTTCAGCAGAAAGGCCAGCATTGGAGGATTTTAATCTCAAACCAGCTCTAGATGAGTGAAAAGAGCAGGAAACAAGAAAAATATTCAAGTAATATGAGAATTACAGGATAAATGTTAAATACAAGAAGTTAACATAGAGAGTGCCAGTAACTGTTTTCTTAGTTGGAACTATTCAGTATCATGTATGTTGAGTTAATTTGAACTGTTAACATTGATCATGTAACAAATAGTTGAAACTGACTTGTATATATCTTGAGTTACAGTGTTTTCACTTAAACAGAACTGTTATCACAACTTGAAATTATCATAATCTTCTATTCACTTGAAATTTCACTATTTGATGTATATGCTACAAGGGATTAAATCAAGACAAACAAGTAAGTTGATTTTTTAAGAGTATTCAATTTATATTAATATGGCCCCACTTGACTGCTATATAGCTTCAAGTTTTTTACCTGAAAGAGACATATAGCCCCATTATATTTCATCCTGGAATGAACACAGGTTTTTTTTTCTTGTTGTTGTACAACAGATTTGTTCATATTACTAAAAGCTTGCAACATTACTCGTAGATAAACACAGTTGATTTGAAAGTATTGTCAACATTCCTTCTCCATTGCAGGGTCAGTTCAATGAATTTAAAACTATATAATGCAATTAAAAGTTTTGTCTTTATTTATTTATCCAAAGTAAAATCAAATTTCATCAGTATTGTGTCTTAGGTCAAACCATATAAATTTGTATTTATTGGTGCAATACTTTTTTAATCTCATCAATTAATTTCAACGTGTTTTAAAGTGACAGAAACAAGATAAACAAATAAAGATTTTTTTAGAATCTAAGGTTGGTAAACGTTTTTGTATTTTTAACCAAAATAATTGTTTGTTTTTAGTAGAAAGGGAGAGAGAAGTAAAATCAAATTCTTAGTTATAAATAAGTCGTAGGTTTAAAAACTGGAGGAGAATTATTTAAATTAGTATTTATTTTTAGACATATAAGTTTGAAATTGGTAACTAAGCAAGATAATGACTATCAAGTGATAGATTTATTCATGAACACAGCTTGGAAAATAAATCAGAACTGTAAATGATAAAAGAATTCTGTTCAATAAAGTATCAAGCTTTTTCAAGCATTATAATTAGAGCTCTCAGAAATTTTTAAGTAGCATAAGCATTATTTTTTTATCTACTAGGCTCTCTCAAATAAAAATACAGAAAGGAAGGTAATAAAATTTTATTAATCCTTATTTCTGTTGTCAGAACGATCCATGGGCTAATATACAATGCCCTCAAGTTGTTCATGGAGAAAAACCAGATGCTGTTTGACAAATGTGTGCAGAGATATAAGCAAGGGCGACAGAAGTAAGTATGCTTGGACTTTGTATGTGCACTGAAACACTGTTTGTTATTTTTCTATATCAGAAACATCCATGGCCTGATATTCAACGCTCTGAAGTCATTTTTGGAGATGAACGAAAGTCTATTTGATGAGTGCACACAACATTATAAACAGGAGAGGCAAAAGTAAGTTTTGCTTCAAGCCTCTGTCTGCTCATACTCTCTCTCTTTCTCTCTCTCCCTGTCTCTTCACTTCTCAGTGAACTTTGTTAATCAAGAACATTGTAATTTTTCTTTTCTTCTTTGCCATCATAGGGTTTGGTTTTCTGTATTCTGGATTTATGCATGTTTGAAGATGTAGTTTGAAAGTTTTAACATGTTGCAGTATATACAAGTGTTCATCTTGTAAATGAAAAATCTTATTAGGATTGAGACTTTACTGTAATAGTTCAAACACAGTGGATGACTGAGATATGATATTAACACTGAGATACTGCCAGATATTTATTGAACATTACTTTAAACAAATATATCATGAAAGTAAAAAGAGACTTCAATAACATAGCATTAAAAGTACTAGAGATAGCAAAGACAAGGGATATAGGCCACAGAAACATTGAATGAAATATACTAGATTGCAGAAATATATAATATATGCATGGAACACTACTACACATTGAAGAGAGTGGCATATCGTGAAATGAAAATGAAATCCTTACATGGGATGAACACTATCTGTGATAGCAGAAGCATAGGATGGATGCTGCTAGACAATAGAGAAATGAAAACTACCTGATACAGTAGAAATATGGAATGAACACTTGCAAGAAATGGTATAAGAAAGTGATAAACATTTGCAGTCAAGAAAGTCTTGATCTTAGCACTATCAGGGAGAGAGAGAGATGCCAGATAAACATCACCAGGGAGTGTAAAAACATGGCATAAAAGTGCAATAGACAGCAGAGATGAGACAGACATGACTTGAATACAAATATGTGAGGAGTATGGCTTAAGTACTTTAGGATATTGCAGCAAGATACCATAAGTACTACCAAATACAGAAGACATGGGATAATGAGTATCAGATACAACAAACATGATATTAACTTTATTACAGACAAAGGCATAATGAATGCTGCCAATAATAACAAAAACATGTTATGAATATTTACGAAAACAGCAAAGACAAGGCATGAACACTACCAGGGCCACTTTCAAATATATGCTTGAATAGGTCTTATAGGCTCAATGTATTGCTTTTCAATTATTAACTATTTTCAGACAATCCACAAAAAAGATAAAATTTTAACAATATTTTGTTATCTTTGTTTGCTAAAAAAAAAGGTATACTGCTGGCAAACAAACCTTGAGAAAACCTAAATTAGACACTTGTACACTGCTTCATTAGTTTTGTTAAAATGCTTATTTCCCAGTCTTTGATGCTCCTGGTGATTTTGTTCTTAATGTTGTTGACTAATCATTGTCCTTAACATGTGTAAATTTGTGAATCTGGCAGTGTTGATGAATCCTCTCTTTTTCTAGCATTTATTTTAGCAGTGTAGCTATTATATTTTTCTGTGAAAGTAGTATATAAAACCTACATCTTTTGAACCAGCTGAACCATATGTTTAAACTGGAATTTGCAGAAACGGATAAATTCTTCACTGTAATGGTAAATAAAAGCATGATAAATTGTTAATTTTTCCTTGGAAAAACTATTTTTGTCCCAAATATATTGTGATTTCGTAAGCGGTTCAAATGAAAAATTGGATGTTTGCTGAAGAAATTAGGCAGAAACCTGTAAAATGTATATTTTGTTCTGGCCAGTGAGTGTATGAACCCGTATTCTCAGGTTACAATCTATTTTCTTTTGAAAATGAACTGGGAGGCCTGAAAATATGAAGAAATGGTGGCAAGTTATCAATACTCTGAGGTAGCAATTAATCATTAACACTGACATAAACAGCAACAACTTACCAACATTGCCAGATACAGTAAGCTGCACTGCCAAACAGTTATAGATAACAAAGAATTCACCATCTTTAAAGCAGTGTTTTGTTTTTGCCATTGATTGAAACAGTCATAAGTGGTCAATAATGCCAAACAGTGAGCAGTTGTTAATGTTCCATGAGACAAAGTTACAACAATACACAAGCAATGACAATTCACCAGTATTGGCAGAGACAGTGATTAGTCCAACTTTAATAGAACCAATAACAGTTCACTGGCTTTGCTGAAGAATGATTAGTTGCTATACATTGTCGGTTGCAGGGATTCATCAACAAGTATAATAATTCATCAGTATTTCCTAAAGCAGTGACTAGTTATAAATGCTCCTTGGTACGGTGATAATTTATACATTGACGGAAAGTGACTAATTATCAAAACTTACTTTGTGTAGTCAGTATCACTATCAATATCATTTTCTAGTCATAATTTTGTCAGAGACAGTAACTTATCTTCATCATTGACCAAGATAGTGATAAGTCACTAATCATTCATGATGTCAGAAAAATATGTAGGTTCAAGAAGTCTTAATAAAGAATAATAAAAACCCTATAGCCCGAGCACTTTTGAAAGGTAGACCTTTCTTCTTCAGGGGCAAACTGGGAATGTTTGCCCCTGAAGAAGAAAAGGTCCATCTTTCGAAACCACTCAGGTCATAGGGTTTTTATCATCTTGTATCAAGTTACTAATCTTGCCAGACAGTTATTAGTTAGTAACATTGCTAGAACCAAGATTTATCTACAGTGCTTATCTAATTGGCAAAAAATAAGTGACTACTACTATCAGACAGTGACATTATTAGAAAATTCAAGAATCCCATCAACAACAAGAACTACTCTAACTTTGTTAGAGGTAGCAAATAGTTATGAACTCTGCCAGAAACAGTGACTATTCACCAGGAATGTCAAATGCAGTGACTGTAGCCACTAACAACACAAGAGACAGTAACAAGAGAAAATATCAAGTCACTAATAGGACAAGTTTTTTGTAGTTAAAAGATGATTTAACTTTGTTTCTAATATGTGATGCTTATAAAGTGTTGTTCTAAGTTATATAGACTGAAGAGACAAGGCAATTATTAGACATCCTGGACTTTTGTGTGTTTTGGTATTTTCTTTTAGAGTGAACAATCACAAGCAGCTATTCTTTTGATAATTAACAGTACACTGATGTTAAAAGTATAAAGATTTAAGTAGTTAGTTTAAGATGCTTGTTACATAAGAGGAAGGATTGCTTAGTTATGTTGTTTACTTTTCTGTGTAGTCAATTTTGGGCACAGATGAATTCTTTCTGACAGACAAGGGTTGTCTGGTTATTTTCTTTAGCTTTGCATGTATTTAATTTTGAACACAGATAACTCACTGCTGTTATGCAGAAAGTCATTGCCTGGACATATATGATAAATTATTTTGTGTTCATTCAGGTAGTATTTTGGATATATTGTTGTGTACATGTTAAGAAGTTAGTTTTGAATATAGGCTATTCTCACTGAGCAGATTAAGATTGTTGGTTTCATTTACTTATTCAAAGAATTGATTTTAAATATAGTTCACTTCCATTAAGCAGTATAGAGTTGTCTAGTCATGTTAATTATGTGATCAAGTGGTCATTTTTTAATGATTGATTTACAATTAGGCTACAGTTGTCTGGTATTTTGTTTATTCACCTAAGCATTTAGTTTGTAAAGTTTTCTATAAATATTGAATTCGTTTTGAACACATACACACACACACACACACTATTCACTTTGCATTCAAGGGTTGTCTGTGCATATTGTTTACCTTTAAACAGTTAATTTTCAGTACAAACTACTTCCACTTATCAGATTAGGGTTGTCTGGCTGCTTTGTTTACAAATCCAAATAGATTATTCAAAACAGTTCACTTAATACCTGTAAAAAAATTCAGTTTTGTATACAGATGACTCCCACATATAATAGCAGACATAGGTTATCTTGTCATTTTACTTGCATCTTCAGTCTCTGAAATTTAAAAAAGTTAATTAAATAGGTAAAGGTAATCTCATTATACTTGTTACTTGTTAAGCATTGAGTTTTGAGCACAGAAGGTTCACACTTAGAAAATTATTTTGGGGACATATTGCATATAATTTTGTATAATTGAGCGAAGCGAATTGTTGATGGTTTTTATTTTTCTTGTTTGCTTTTCAACATGTGTATTTTTCAGTGAGAAACAAAGAATCAAGGAAAGAGAAGAGGCCTGGGCTAAAATAGAAACCTTAGCCTCAAATAACCCAAAGGTTGGTTTTATTTTCTGTTGTATATGTGTTTATAGGCTCTGATCTGCATGTAAATGTTTTTAGAGCTATATGTTATATATTCTGGCTTTTTTATACATATCCTTTTTCTAAAGTTATGAGTTAAATACTGTAGATTTGGTCTACAATTGAATGTTTCTAGAGCTGAAAGTTAAATACTCTATCTCTGGTCTACACACCTAGGCAACATGAGGAAATGTACTGAAAATAAATTACCACATTTCAGGGACATTGGGTGGCCGCTATGGTAATTTTTTTCCACAAAATATTTCATTGCTTCAAATTTCAACCCTAGACATGTCACTGCCAGGTGAGTGCTCAAGAGTCAGCCCACTATTACTTGCTATTAAGTCATTTTCTAACCACTCAAAATTCTACTTAGATCAGTGTAATGGGATAAAAAAGCTGCTGGTTATGATCTATATGTTCTTAATTCAGGGCTTAAATAGGTCATAAAAGTTCTGGAAAGTCATGGAATTTTGTTAACAAATTTTGAAGTATGAGAAATCTTGGAAAATTTGTGGCTTTTATCAGGAGATCCTGGAAAAGTCCTTAAAATTCTTACTCCATCACTCTCACATCCCCCACTTTTATTAATGACAGGCTATACCATTGTGTTCATCTCAGTTTTGTGAAAAACAATTTCTAGAAAATGTGACTCTTGAAATGGGAAATTTGGCAACACTCATCCATAATAATCTTTGAATTGTGTATTTCTGTCTACAAGTGAACAGTTGCTAGGTGACTGTCATTGGAATTATATTGTTAGCGTAAAATAGTCCAAGGACTTGTTTGATGGAAATATAAAAATCATAAAATTGTTGATAGGATAAAGAACGTGAACATTTTAAAAGTCTTCTAATTCCATGTTCCATAATAATCAATAATGTTTCTAGCCTACTTTTTTCTTTGATTATTGCTGAAAATTCATTAATAAAAAGAGAGAGAAATGTAGATTCAAGTGGTAAGAATATAAAATATAATAGAATAAGTATCATAAACCTGACCAACATGCATGAAATAGTCAAATATTTGTATTAACTTAAACACGGGCCTGTGCATGTCACAGTTATGTTTAATCAATTATAAATTTTAATTCCAAAAGAAAATATTTAAAGAAATTCTCAATCTTCACTTTTTTGTTTCATGTGACATCTCTACATTCTGATTTTTCTCCTATTTTACATTGTGTAATGTCAGTAGTAGTGCATCTACACTGTCTGAGTCATGTAGACACAGTCTGTAAATAATTTTAAGATCCAGTATGCAGTTTCAACATTCTCACTTCTCCATTTAATGAGATACCAATAAATGTTCCCAACTCAGAAGCCCCACCCTAACTTTCAATGTAGTTTTCAAAACCATATCACCTTATTTGACATACATATTTATAACCAATAGAAAGCTTATTTTCAGTTTCAAGCTCGCAATGGCCCATTTGAAATTGGTGGCAATATATGTTAGACTAAAGTCTTGATTTTGTGATGTGTTGGTAAGCAAAGTTGACAGTCAGAATTGTATCAGAATTTCATGTGTACAGCAGATGTGTATGGGAATCTGCTAATGTCTTTTCACTGTGATGTGTTGCTTTTAAGTGATGAATAACCTGTACATTGCACAAGCCAGGCAATAAAACTATAACATTAGAATTAAACTATATGTGAACAGGTAAAACAGTTGAAATTGTGAATAACATCAAGTCAAGATGTGGCAGGAGGAGGTGTGTTCAGTTCATTTCATAAATTTCAAAATTTCATTTCATTGTACATTGATGATTCAGCTACAGTTAGTGTTATGGTAGAGAAAATAACAGACAAAATATAAACTTTTACCCGAAAAAACATTTGTTATTCTATTAGGAGATTCTATATGAAAACTAAGATGAAGCATTTTTATTATTAGCATAAAATTTTCTTTCACTCAGATTGACTTTGTAAAGGTTTTGAATATTCACAAATTTTTACTATAAATACTTTATAAAGAAAACTCACTTTTTGTGTGCAATATACTTGTAATTTTTACTAAACATTTGCCAAAGATAAGCCTAGTGAATTCAGAGTTCTAATACGTAAAATGCTATGATTTTCAAAATTGTGCAAAAGACAGGCTCAGGGAGAGGGAATTAAAAGCAGGCCTAATTAGATAACCTGTTATTATTTATACAATGATTGCTGTTGGCCAGGATATTTTGTTATTAATATTAATTTATCTCTGTTTTCTTTTTAGTTCTTTTCTTTCATATTTAAAAATGAATAAAATTCTTTAAAAAACTGGTTCATGGTTTTACTTTTAATCAGCATAACCTGTGACAGCACTCTTGTCGGCAAAATATTTTTCAGAACAATTATTGTTATTATTATTTTTTAAATGCATGTGATGTGTTATTATACAAGGAAAAGGTACATGCTGAACATCAGTTGAAATATAAAGGTTTTATTGATCCACAAGGTTTCATTCTTTATTCATAATAGGGGAATTACAGTAGTAAATTGAGAAAATATTTAAAAAATATTTTTGGAAACCATGAGGCATACAACATTGTTAATGTACGCAACAAAATGAGAATAGTCTTAGTAACAATACAAGTCTGAATCTTTGCTTTGTTGGGTCAGTTGGCATGATGTAGGTATGGTAGTTGTGGAGGTACAAGTTGACTGTTGTTCTGTTGGCAAGTTGAAATAATCTCTTCATTAAATAGAATTTGGTTACACATGATAGGAGTTTTAACTATGGCTAAAGTACAGTATTTGGGAGAAAGATGCAACACTTTGTTATTTGCTATGAAACTGATTTAGGGAAACTTGAAGTATACTTTGAATGTAAATGACTTAGAATTTGTCAGTGCTTTGTTCAGTAATGAACAGGCTAGAATTTCTTTTAGCAGCTTGTTTCATACTTTTTTTTCTTTTGCTTGATTAAGTGTTTTTGTGATATATCAATCCTTATGCTAATTGGCTGCTAGAACACCTGCAGAATAGTTATCATTATTGATACAAAATATGCACACACAAAAATAGGAGGAAAAGTTTAAATTTTGTATAATTTTTCTGCATTTTTAATTTTGTTGAAATTTATGTTCTCTTGAAATCAATAAATTACATTGTTGAAAATGAGAGTTTGGTTGTGGAAAGTCCTGACATTTTTTCTGTTAACCTGGGTATTAATGTATCATAGTTAGAAAAACTATTTTCTAAATGTATGTTTTTAAATTATCTAACACCCATTTGCTAACAGTTCGTTGTAATTATAAAACTATTTTTAGCTTTCTACAGTCTGTTTCTTAGATTTGTAATATTTTAATCCATTGTTATTTAACACAACGAAACATTCACCTAACATAATATCAAAAATAAATTTCCAAATCACATCTTTCATTTATCAGTACAAAAAAAGTGGTTTATACATTACACTAGAATTAAATTAAAAACATTAAAGTGTGGATTTGAAAAGAAAACAGTTAACAAATGAGATGCTGGAATTTGAAAGTCTTGTGTAAATTGATCTACAGTTTTATGATTAATAAGACTACCATTGAGTAAAAATAATTAATCCAGCTTATATTAATAACCAAAAAAAGGGCTTCAAACAAAACCTGCAGTTGTCTTGTTTAAATTACAAGTAAATTAGTGCAGACCCAATATTATGCGGTTGATGAAAAATATAAAGTGATTCTTTTTCTTGTCTTTTGCTGAATGTGAATGTTACTAAAGCAAGAGTTTGGTTGTCATGGAAATAGTTTTTAATTTAGTTAATATATTAAGTTTCCGTTGAGAGTTAATAAAAATGTCTTGAACAATGGTTGTTTAATCTTCATAAAATAAGTAATTAATTCATCAAGTAACGTATTTAGTTTCTAAACAAAAGTTTGGAGACGGCTTGACTGGATAATGAAGAAAATATTGTTATAAATGTATGATGTTTCTATAAGATTATGTCATCATCAGGTAAAAGTTGATTACAGTCACATGATTTATATACAGTATGGAACAAAGAAGTCACATGACTGGAGATTGATTCACAGCCTAGCATAGGTATCTTGGTATCCTGGGGTGTTGCTTTAGGGTGGAGTTGTTTTGTTCAATTAAGATAGCTTCCTTTATTCTGCATTTTGTGAAGTTTGGTTCTTTGTTTGAAATTATGGTGTGTTTTTTTTTTGAGTTGCAATGGTGGTAAATATTTCCTGTTTTTTATTATATTCAGTGAATCTAGTTTCCAATTTTCTTCTGAGTTCTCTGATGTGGAATTCTAAATCGTTATTGCACATTATTTTATAAATAATATTGGTATTGTGTGATTCTATGTAATTTTTATTTAGTAATGACTAGTTAAGACTGGGTTTTTGTGTGAATTTGAATTCAACAGGAATTTTATGTTTAATGGCAAATTTTCTCCAAATGTTGATTATTTTTGAACTGGTGTCAGGGATAAATGGTAATGTTGTGTTGTTTTTTGGTGTATTAAGTGTAAATTTTGTTTGTGAGAAGAGTTTTGAGGTTTTTGTTCTGGTGGTGGTTAGTAGAAATTTGTTGGTGTGAATGAAGGAATGCTTTATAGAGTTGATTTCTTCATCTATGTAGTCAGTTGAGCAAAGTCTTGAAGCTGTGTCTATAAGGTTTTTAGTATATTGATTTTTTTCTGTTTTGGATCTAGTAATGTTAAAGTTAAGAAGTGATAGCTGTTTGCTATTTTCATGTTCAACTGTGAATTTAATGCTGGGGTGAATGGAGTTTATGTGTTCGGCAGAATTGAAACCAGCAAAAGTACCAGTATTGATTGTGTGGCTTGTATTTTGATCTGGGTCATAAATATGTTGGCAAGAGCAGGTGAAACAGGGTTGCCCATGCTTAAACCATCTGTTTGAAGAATGATTTTGTTGTTGAAAACTAAATTGATTTTTGTTGTAGTTATACAAGCTTCTTTGATGGTAACTTTGATGAAAAGTGACACGTCAAAGCTAGCCATTAAGACTTTAGGGTTTAGTTGGTTTAACATGTTTCTGAAGTTAAAGATATCTTTAAAAAATGAACCTGCAGAAGTTATATAGGGTGTGAGGGCCCAGACTATGTATTTATCAAGATTATAGTCCAATGAGTCATAAGTGGATAGTATAGGTCGTATGGGGCAGTCTTGTTTGTGTGGTTTGGGAATACCATAGAGTTGTGGTTTGTGTAAGCCAGTTTTCCTTAGATAAAAATAAAGATCTTCATTAATCAAGTTGTCTTTCTTCATTTGCAACATGGTTTTGTTGGTTTGTTTGGGATGGGTTTATATTTCTTATTGTCTGAAAGAATGTTCATTTTGTTGATGTATTCTGTGTTCTTCATGATTACAGTAGTGTTATCTCTGTCATCTTTTAAAATTTTAATGTTGGTGTCTTTTTTCAGATTGTAGATGCATTTTATCTTGTTGCTTGTGAGATTGGTCTTCAGTTTATGGGTTTGGGTAACTGCATAAATGATTTTGTTAAAGAATTCTTTGAAAAAAGATGCAGTTTTTGAGAACTTCAGGAAACCACATTTTTTTATAATTACCTATCATAAAAGTTTGGCAGTTAGAGTTTTGGATTTCGTCTTCTTGTTGGTTACTGTATAAGGTGGAGGTAATCTTTTGTGTAGTGTATCACTAGTCTTCTGGATAAATTTTCTAGGCTGGTCTTTAACTCTAGGCAGGGAACTGTCTTGTGGCTGATGATGAAGTGTAGGCCTTTGCACAGAAGTTGTAGTTCAGTGTTTAGTTTTGGTCTGATCTGTTGATAACAAGATTAGGTTGTGCTTCATTGTTGTATCATCTTTCATGTTCTTGTAGTTCTATCAGATGTTCCAGGTTGTTGCTGTGTACAGATTTATTAGGGAGTTTAAGTTTACAGTAAAAGTAAATTTAAAATTGAATGAATGTGTTTTTCATTTATTTAATGAAACAATTGTTGAATCATCTAATAGTAGTTCTCACATTATGGAAATGCTACCATATTTTTGATAAAGTTTATTGCCAGTGATTCTTTTATGTTTTCACCACATTTAAAGTTAATAAAAGTAGAATCTGGAGAGTTCAGATGCTTAGACCAAAATAAAATGTGTGAACATTTTGGACAGTGGACAGATGTGAGCAAAAGAGGAAATTATCAAAAACTGGAAGCACCTGGGATGAAAGGAGATATTTTAACTCCAGTCGATGAAGAAGATATGCTGCAGATAACTAAACTGGAAAATCAAGCAAGTGAGGTTAGAAAGTTGCTAATGTTTTTATGTTATTGTTTTATACTCTGCATTATTTTAATATAAATCACAGAATATTTAAATTGGAAGGCAAAAATTTTTTATTGATTTTATTTGCCAACCAAGAGGAAATACATACCCTATACTTTTTTTGGATAACCTTATTGTGAATATTAAACTTTTATATTCAGTGTATGAAAATGTTTTAGTAGAGAGATATTACAAGATTTACTTCTATTTTTTTAGGTGTTGAAAACTGAAGTGTACTCTAATATCAAAAGTAAGGTCTTGGATGGAAGAGATAATATTCTAAAAAAACAAGAATAATCATTAGGAAATTAGTAGTTTAAAAGACAACTAATTGTTTTTGTTTTGTCCCATGTCTCTCTGAATCTATTCTCAAGAAATATACATTTAGTTTGAAATTAAGTTTTCCACTTTAAGTTTATTCTGTTTATCAAAAACACAAGAACAAAAAGTGTCTGTTACAAACTAGTATAAATATTTCTTGAGATGAAACCACACCTCTGTAAACAGTAAGCTATTTTCCCTGCACAACTGCCTTAAAAATTTGCATGCCACTAGCCTTTAGTAAACTCCTACCTAATTTCGTAAGATTTATGAGGAATTGTGTAATTGCATAGTGATGTCTTTATGCAGTAAAAGCCCTCTGCTAATAGGAAGGTAAAACATATTCTTGCACACTAACCCCCTCTTCATTCTTTTACTTGGCACTGAACACTACAGAAGCTTTTCTTTTTCAATTTAATGAGATTTGCAAAGTTTAAGGAACTTAATTGCCTTTTTTCTTCTACAAACTGTGAACTTACAAGTTCATGTAGTATCTTCTACTACTTGTGTGAACAAAGAATTTCCTCTCACATGGATTATGGAGGCATGTTGACCAGGGATGATGTGACAATCATTGTACATAAGGCAGTGGATTCTCTTATGGAGCCAGGATCTTCGGCTCCCATCTCTGCAGGCATTCCTTCCCCTTGTTTTGAGGGAGGAGATTGAATGTAATTGTTTGTTTCCTCCTCCTGACTATGCTTTGGAAACTACTCTTTTGGTTGAAGAGAACTTCAAACTTCATTGCATTATCAGGACTTAATATCACAGGAATGTACTGTTCTTTCTCCTGTGTCATAGACTCTTCTTGTCCCCTCCTTCATAATCCTAACCCTAATGAGTTTTTGTTTTTTCTCTCTCTCTCCTGACATTGGCATTCATGCTGATTCCTTCCTTGACCATCTCGTTCCCACATCCTCATGCTTCACTCTTCTCATTTATTTCATTCTGATATCCTGGTTATAGTCATTCTGAATTCTTCTTTCTCGTTTCCTAAGATTTTGAATCTTTTGCCTGTTTGAGGGGTGGACTCTGAGGTGTTGGTTTTGTTCTCTAGTGTCCAATACTCCTGTCTTCACCTGATCCTCATCACCATTACCTCTCCTTTTTACATATCATTTCTGAGGCACTCCACCATGCTCCAGATCATTTTATTGGGCAATTCTTCTTCACTTACCTTCTCCACTGTAGCTCTTTCTACTTATTCTGCCTTCTTCCTGCTCACTTGGCTCTGTATTCTTTTCTTAGAAAGCTGCCCATCATGGGTGATTCATCAACACTTCCCTCTCTGAGGAGCATTTCTGAAAGGCAATCTCACATCCAGTACATGGACCCAGTCCTTTCTCCATAGTTACATGCTCAAACTCCTGGCATTCCATTGAACATCTCCCCATTTCTTACTCTTCCTTGTGGATTGTTAGTTATGACCCATCCTGGCAGCTCCATGTTTTCCTGTATCAACTGCAAGGGGGGGTGGGGCTGATCCAGAACCCTTTGCTTTCAAACCTTGGGTCTTCTTTATTGGGCCAATACACAATGAGTTTGACTCATCACCATTGGGTGTGCTTTCTCTTGGAGACTCCACTCATTTGTGCCTTTGCCACCCCTCTATTCCAGCAGACAAGAGACTAGAGAGCAGGAAGAGAGCCAAAAGTGGAGTGAAAGAGTGTTTCAGTCAGAGAAAGGTTATAAAACATAAAGTTAACTGCTGTAGGAGTGAAAGACCTAATGGTTAACATGTTACAGCAAAACTAACAGTTTTAAATGAGATAAGAAGTATAGTTTATTCCATCAAAGCAAGTTCTAAAGTAATTGAACCAGTCTGAGTAAACTGGAAGATTACTGGAAGAGCAGTGTATGACTGTGGTAACTCATACTATAATTTTAAGTGAATTATACACAGAATACTAGTGCAAAAGAAATAGAGAAAGGTATTTTGGCTTGTCAACTGAAATTCTAAAGCAATTGAATAGGTCTAAGTGGATGTTTGACAAGAAGAAGAGAACTATATATAGTGTTTATGATATGCATATGATCTCTATAGTGTAAAGAATTTTTTGTACATATGTTTAACTATTTAGAAGTGGAGTGCATGCTGTTTGTTTATTTTGAACTTATCGCCAACAAATCACAGATACCTACTGTAGAAAAATCCTTAGCCCAACACCCATATTATTCAACCTTCTTACTAAATACTACTATATATAATATTAAGAAGAAGAATTCTAATAATTTTGATACTCTTCTATGCTGCCTGACCATCTCTTCTCTTCCTTTACCTGACTGTTCAACTGTGGCATAACTACCTCCACATTTGCTAGTTGTCATGCATCCTTGTCCACAACATTTCACTTTTCTCAATACTGTAGTTCTCTCCACATTGTTACATTCCTTCCTTATCAATATACCCTCTCACTCAGTCCCATGCCTGGCTGGGACTTCATTGTTATTCTGTTCACTTTTACTTGCATACCTTTTGGCCATTGTTAACTCGTATCTGATACCACCTCTCTCTCAAAACATATTTTCTCTTACTTCTCGCCTTCAGTTGCTGTCATATGGATATTTATGCTATCTATTCTTCCTTTACTCTCATCTATTGCTCTTATATTCTTCTTTATCCTGATCAGTCCTTCCTTCCTTGAACTTTGTTTGCTCAGGAAAATGACTGCTCTTTCCTATTTGCCTTTCCTCTGTTTCTTACCTCAATGATCAGTCAGATCTGGACAGACTTTTCTGCCCTGTTTGTGTCATTTTTGCAACTTATCTTGTACCTCTCACTTTTGAGGCTTCTGTTAAAGGTTCTTCATTCCCTGGGATACCTCCTCTTCTAAGGGCATTCTCCTTCTATTTTTACAAGTTGGATCTGGCAACTTCTACATTTAGTCTTCTTCATTGGGGTTGATGCTTGCACACATTTCATCCCATCAGATTCATCACCTCACTCATTTCTGACAGTCGCTGGACAAGATTCTTTAGGTTTGCTCTTTGACTACTCCACGCACTGTCATTCCCTATCTTCACCTTCTGGCTGTCTCATAACCTATAGGTTACCATCTTCCTCCGTTGCCATTCTACAGTCTACCCATTGTATGTAAGTAAGCAAGTACTTTTTTCAGCATTCACTGATTGGATCCAGTCAGGTAGCTGGTGGTGCTTCTCGGGGTATACTTATTTCCCAAATTCACATTGAGCCAGGATAATAGAAAGTGCTCAAACCATCCACCCTGGCTCCATATATGGTCACTGTGAGATGGGGTTTTCTGCATGACCACTTGAGGTATTGTCGTGGTATATCTATATATCTGACTGTTATCCAGACCATACTTATTCCATGGACTGTCATGAAAAAAATAGCACCAGGGGGTGTTCTGCCCACTTCACTGGCTTGCATATGTAGACTTTTCAAAATAGGATGATGCAGCCACCTGTTGCACTGTCTCCAATGAAGGACCTTTCTGGACTGAAGGACCAATAGTGTTCTGGGCATTTTCTTTCTGGTCTCCCCCCTCCCTCCCCCCACCTTTGAATTCCCCTCTCTTTTCTCCTTGAATAGAGCACAGGAGACACTTGCCATTTACCAGTTCATAGCTGTTGGGGTGATGGATCATGGAGAAACCTCAGTGATTGGGACCTTACCACTGGAACTAGAACAAGGGCTGTCAATACAGTGGAAAGTGGGGTGGTGACACTGTCATTGTAGCACAGGTTACCCATCATATACCTGTATCTCATGCCACTTGTGTCCTCCTCCTACAGCTGATATTTGTTTAGTTGAGTTGAGCCCACACCATACTACTCTTTATGGCATGACTGCTGTGCTATACTCCCACAGTTTGTGTCAGTCCAATAAAGGCAGACAATATAGTTGAGGGGAGCACCAAGTATGGTGTGAATGTGCTCTAACCATTTTACTCATGTTGGCTTCCCCAATCTCTTGTATGTAAGTTCTCAAATGGTCATGTTTTTGTTTTGCCCTTCCCTGCAATACATGGGTCTCATTTGACTTTTCCTACCTTTATTCCTTGGCAAAGAGTATATACCCTGGAAGAGATGAGATGTGATCTCCCACAAATTTGCCTCAAGGGAGCACCTGCCATTGGGTGCTACATTCTATGGACTTTTTGAAGGGAGCTTATCTAGGTAATTCTTTGCATTGGCTTCTTCACCACTTTAATGTGGGATTCTAGCTTACTGCGTGGAAAGGTGTGATATCATCTAAGAAGTTGACATTTTCCTTACCTGAAAATGTTTTTCCATTAAATACCTCTTCACACACCTTTTCATCCATCCTCCCCAATTCTGGTGCACATTTCTTACTAGCTTTATCAAAGAATGGAGATTCACAAGTACAAATGCATAGTTTGTTAGTGCACAAGAAGTGAGTTGTCCTCCTATTGGTAGAGGGCTTTTGCTGCATAATGATCTCATTATGCAATTGCACAATTCACAAGAAATTTTGTGAAATTAGTTCAGAGTTCACCACCAAATTCTAGTGGCATACAGATCTCATAGGCAGAAGCATGGGGAAGATAGCTTACTGTTTGCAGAGGTAAGTATCTATTGGAAATACATTTTCGGGTAAGGGAGATGTTAACTTTTGTTTGGTAAACACACTCTATATTTTAAGGGTTGTAAAATAATTTTATTGTCAA